TATGTATGTATGTATGTATCTGTACAATGTACATGTATACACAGCCGTGCCTGTATAAACGTGAATGAATTGCCTGGGGCTTCTTGGGTTGAGGATGTTCTAGATAGATATGCAATGATGTTCTCGTATTCCAACCACAGTCTGATATGGAAGTTCTGGGGCTTTGTCTCATGATGACACTCAATGCTATTCCGCACGGCCGGGTGTGTTGGTGCATTCTGGTATCAAGCGGAGGTTTAGATTGTACATATGATGTGTTGTGGTATCAGAACCGCTTCGGGGCTCTGTCATATACTGATAGACTTGCAATAGAACTGTATGGCACTATCAAAAAGGCCTGTTGCTTCGATCCCCGCATCTTCATGATTCAACCGTGATGTACTTGTATCATAAGAGTATTATAGACTTGGGGGTCTAGAGTTTGTAGCATCCTATCTACTTCTGAGGCACCCACATTACTTTCGAAAGATCAAGACGGTCGAAACGACCCTTGAAACCAACTGCCGCGGGCATGAAACAAGGAACTTCGCCTATCAGTTCCGTTCTGGTACCCTGCTTGAACCCTATAGAACCCGTTTTCCAGAGCCATTATATAGTACCCTGGTTTGCAGTCAGGGCGGGTCTTAGGTCCGGTGTTACATCCCAAACAGAGAACGTCACTCTTATACTGAGGATCAAAACAAGGGCTCTAGTTCAGAGAACTCCAGATGGCCGCCGAATCGCCGAAGCTAAACATAAATCCTAGACCTAAACCCAACCCCAAACCCCAAAGCAAACGGATCCAAATTCAAAAAAGCCTCAACCCTGAACTTTAAGCCCTAAAGCTCGAGCCCCCAAGCCCTTCACGGCCTCATCATCAGAACCCGGTTGTACGAGATGATGGAGCTGCAAGCTATTGCGATTTCCTGAGGCACCGCATCGCTGAAAACCGTTTAACACGCCACGAGGGTGCACTTATGTATGTATGTATGTATGTATGTATGTATGTATGTATGTATGTATGTATGTATGTAAGCATGCATGCATGCATAGGTATGTAGGTATGTAGGTATGTGGTATGTAGGTATGTAGGCATGTAGGTATGCAGGTATGTAGGTATGTATTTATGTAGGTATGTAAGTATGTAGGTATGTAGGTATGTGGGTATGTAGGTATGTAGGCATGTAGGTATGTAGGTATGTAGTTATGTGGGGTATGTAGGTATGTAGGTATGTCTGTATGTCTGTATGTCTGTATGGAATCGTTATTACAATGTAGTAACTACATACTATGCTGCACGGCAGCGTTCAGGCTGGCAAACCCAAAAAGCTACCTCCAACTCCCGTCTAATCCCTAACCCTTCCCCCCAACAGATAGATGGATGGATGACAGATAGGTGATAGAAAGGAAGATAGATATGTAGACATGTGCCCATGCATACATCCACCCCTACATACATACACACGCGTACATACATATACTTGCACACACGTGGCTCTTTTTGTTGGAACTCCCGGGGGAGATGGACCGGCTGCCACCTGAGAACGCTCTGATGACGTTGAGCTCCCGGCCACGGCTGACGCAGCCAGGTAGGGCCATGCAAGTATGCCGGCAGCCGCCTGCGACAGAGAAAGACTGAGAGCTTTGGGGCTTTGAGCGAGGGTTTGGCGTTAAGGGCTGTTGCTCTTTCGGTTGCTTTTGCCAGATGCCTACTGTAATTACAGGTTTTTGTGAGCTATTGGGTTCTATACAATTTGTAGTGGTCTGAAGGTGGCGGGGTTAAGCCCCAGGCAAGCAAACGAAACACTCAACCCCAGAGACAAAATTTAGGGCCTAGGATTTGAGGTTCGAGCGCCCACTGCCCCCTTGTCAAGCCCACCGATCCTACTTAACCAACCTTCCGTGAACATTCGGAAACTTGGAAATTGCTGACCGCCAAAGCCGTTTGAGAATGGCCTTTGGGGCATGTTGACACGAAGGATGTACTACAAGCAACTGAGACAAACTCTGTGGACCTCTCTGAAGCCGTGAAGCCTGTTGTAGACTGTAGACACCTCAGCTTTCTCATTTTGACGGACACTTGCCCCCTGCTTCCCGAGGTTCGAAGCCTGGTAAGTACTCCATGACACAACCCTGCGCTAGACTCATTCAAAACCCTTTTGTGGACTAGGTCCACATTATGTTATATAAGTTGACCTTGACACTGTCCAAGTCTGCCTGGCGCCCCTCAGCCGCTGCGGCTGCTGCCACGGCCGCCGCCACGACTGCGGCGGCTCCGAGGGACAGTAGAGCTCGGCGAGTGGTGAGCCTGCAGGGTTTTGCACCGTAAACCCCGAAAGCTAGGGTTTTGCACCCTTAAGTTTCTATCCCAATCTTCATCCCACCCTAAACCGTCAACCTCTGGTGTCCATAGAGTTGCCAGTGTGGTCGTTCAACGGGCCTGAAATTTGGAAGCATAGTTCCCGGGGTTATTTTAGTAGAACACCCGGCAAAACCTTGGTCTGCGCCAATTCCGAATATGTTGTGGACTGGGCTCATCTTTGCTGAGACTTGGAATCTAGGCCATCCGGATATAATTTTTTCGGGTTTGCGGGTTTCGGATTTAGGGGTTCAGGGTCTCGGAGATTCAGGATTCAGGAGGCTATAGGACGATGTACAAACAAGATTCGGGCGTGCTGACTGGCTATCAGAGCAAGCGAAGCTGCGACACTGGGCGGCTCCTGTCCTTCTCAGCCCGACAGACCACCATTATAAAGCAGACGCATCTGACAGGTTACGAGAATCGCCCTTCTAGGTGCATTTGCTCCCCAAATCATAGGATCCTTCGATTCTTGCGATGTAATGGGAGGGCCTCCATTGCTGGAACAAAGGTGTTGCGGGATGTTAGCTATAGTTATTCCGAATCATCTGCTGGCCGTGCGGCTGGACGGCGACAAGAGTAATGAGAGGAGTGCAGATGCTGAGCTCCTCAGAACAGAAGAAGTCAAACCCTGAACACTAGGAGTCTTGGCGTCTACCGGTTTACGACAACTTACGGTGTGGGGTTCAGGAGTTCAAGGCTTTAGCATGCTTTAGCTCTAGACTTGTCAATTTTTCACCTTCAACACTAAGGGCCTTAACCTTCATTCCTGACATGAAAGCAGAAAAACAACTGGATGTAGAGTCTGGATGGTTTTTTGAGGGTGTGTGTGTGTGTCTGTGTTAACCGGTTCACCATATCTAGTGACATGCTTGTATCAGCACAGACCACGCGCAACATTCCAACTTTCGGTTTCGATGTGGTGCAGATTTCTGTCGATAACCAAGTCTGGCATTCTGCGTACTAGGGGACTTGACATAGTTCGCATAGTTTAGTGCGTTCAAGTGCCCTACGAATTGAACTTAGTCTGTCCATCAAGGATAGCATGTAATGTAGGGTGAGCATTAAGAGTTTACGACTCGAGGGTGAGAGGTAAATGGAGGGTGCAGGGCTGCAGGGCCCAGTGTTTAGCGTTGGCTTGTTTCGCAAGGGTTTAGGGATCAGGGGTCACACTGCTTGGATTACGGGTTTAAGGCGCGCGGCTTCATGTTTGTCGGGCCTTCCGAAAGCTTGGAAGAGTCTTGGAGTGACAGTGCAGCATTTCTAATTGTCCGCAACCCCAAGCTCATGATCCTTAATCCCCAACACTCGTGAGCAAACAAATAGGCTTGGTTGTGTCTAACTGGGCTTAGGGGTACCTTCCGCGGAACACTGAGGAAGACCACTGCCTGTCATTCGAGCATGCATTTTTCTAGCAAAATTCTGACTTCTGTCCTCAACCTTGAATCCGATTCCCTAGACTCCACTTGAGACCAAAGCCCGTAACCTTAAAAACCCTATTAGGCTCTAAACCCTGCACCCTACTGATCCCTAGGCACTAGATCCTCCAAACCCTACCCTACACCCGGATCAGGTTCTAAACCCTGAACCTTCCACCCTCACCTGAAACCCTACTCTCCAGATTCGTATCCTCGGAGCCAGCCCTACAGCTGCTAGTCCAACCTAGAAATCCTATACTTGTGATCTTCAACGCTTAAACCCCACAACTCTCAAGCCCGAAACCACCTACCCTGCAACACGCGACCCCAAAAATGGCAACCCCTAAACCCTTTAACTCTGAACCCCTAAAAGGAAACCCTGAGACCGTAAACTCTGAAATCCTCGTGTCGGAAGTAGCGAGGAAGATCGCGCAGATCCCTGCCGGCGCAACAAATGGATGGTATTGCTGGCTGTCTTTCTGAGGTCGAATTAGATCCTTGGGGTTCAGGGTTAAGGTTAAGGATTTAGGATTTAGGGTGCAGAGTTTAGGGTTGAGGGTTCACGTTGCAGGTTCTCTGAGCGGAAACTTTGCAACTTCTCCGCTTGTACAAGGGCAGCGGAGGCTCGGATCAGAATCACATCCTGGCCGTGCTTGGCGGATTTTGCGATTCCCTTCACCGGAATTGTCCCAACACCAAACTCCTGAACTCCAACCAGTGGCTTAAGAGCGATGGATAAGGAAACCCCCGTTGTCGATGATCTGGGGCTGAGTTGTTGAGGGTTGTAGGGCTATGGGGATTCTTGTGGCATGGGTTTACTTGGTTCTAGATCTAGGATTGCGGGCTCCACTAGGCAGAGTCATAGTTTGCGACCCTATGAGGAATGGGAGTAGGGTGCAGAGTTCAGCGTAGGCGCTATGGGCTTTGGAAAGACTGAAGAGCGCTTAGTGCTAGACGAAGATGATTCCGCACGAGCGGGAGAGGACCAGCGCTTCAGCAACATGGATTGAAACTGTTGGAATAGGGCCGTCCGGACCCCTAAACCAAGACCGTAGCTGAACAGGGATACTCGTAACAAGGCAGCGACTTCCTGGAGGCTTCTGGACGAGTATAACTGCGGCATAGAGGGCCACGAAGGTAAAGACTGGTGCGCTGAACAAGCCCAAACCCCGCTCATATTCTCCGTGCGCTGGCGTCTGGCGCCCTTCACATGAGGCTGATGAAGAGGGTCGACTGGTGCAGGAAGCCGAAGTGAAACATAAGCCGCGTCCGGCGCTCCATGAAGACTGGGTAGTACCGGTTGTATTGCAGCAGGCTCGTGGTGTACATGACATCCCAGTTTGAGAAAGGAGCCAGTTTTGTAAGCATTTTTCGAATGCATGTAGTCTTTGTCTCGCCACCACACTTGTCAATGATCATTTGGATCTTATCCGGGTTTTCAGTTGCGTAGTCCGGGTCATAGCGACTGTTTTGTTCATCCAGGTAGCGATCCGAGTGGACTCTGGCCGCAAGCTGTTGTCGCACGGCTGATGGCGTATGCAGGCACGTGAAGATCAGCACCAGCAGGCAAGACGTGAACATGATCAGGCAACGAGACTGCGCCAAGGAAGTCGCAGAAGGGCTATCGTCTGAAGAATGCTTGTGAAGACACCTCGAGCAATTATAGCAGCACATGCAAGACATCCTGAACAGTGTAGACTCTGATTGTTAAGAAAGCACTCCGTTCTTGAAGGAATTGAGTTGTGTTCATCAGGGGTCTACTTTACGCATTGCCATGCATCCTGGCAGTCCTATCTCAAAGGAAGAGCGTGGTCCTAGAACCTCTAAACGACCCTAAGAAGGCCTTTCAAAGATCCTATTTCAGAAAAGCCCTAGAGAGCGCTGCGAAGACCCTACGAAAACCTGAGGGCCTTCAGCGCCTTTGGTGGTTTTGGCCGAAATCGAAACCCTAAATTCGAGTGCCTCAGCCTCAGGTAAGGGCCACAATGAGGAAGGGCAGCTACAGTCTGCACACACAAAATGAAAATAGCTTCGGTTTAGGATTTGGGGTCTCATGTGCATAGTTTCTCGCGAAAGGTCCTAGCGCATGAATAAACGTTCTACACAAAACCCGGCAACATTGGCGCTAGCATCATGAGGCCGCATGCATTTCCTGGTACAATAGCCGTGAGCCTGGCCTGCATCGTGGGTCAATGTACTTAGCGCTACAACCCCAAATTGAAAACAGCGATGCCGGAGATTGCAGCGCTCCGGATCACTACAAGCGCCTTGCTGATCCCAGGCATCTTGGAAGCACTTGTATGATAAAGGCTTTCAAAATGTTGGTTACACCAGAGCATTGATAGTGATGCCAGGGCAGATGTACCACGCCCGAAATGCTACTCGAGCAATGCTGCGGACCTCCGCTTGCAGTTGAAGGTTCAGGACTCCACCCCGCAATTGACATTTTACGACCTTCTACACACCAAAATCATCCCCAAAAAAATTGCAGAATCCGTTTAGAACCTGAATACAGACCCGTAGTGGTGTATAGTATGGTGTATATTGTAGAATAACCTAGAAACAGCAACACTGATCAACGCTTTTTCTAAACCCCAAGCAACCCCAAGCCCCTAAATCCTAGACCCTAAACCCTCTAAAGCCCCTGAACCCAAAAAATCCGGCGCCTGCCATCAATCCGGACGAAACCTCTCAGACCGCCGGATGCTTCCTCGGACGCGTCCTCTCCGAAAGGAAGTGCTTAGGTACGGGTTTTGGGGGTTTGCGGCTTGGCTTTCTAAGTTTTGAGGTTTGGGGCTTCCGGCTACAGAGTTTAGGGTTAAGGGTTTAAGGGTCTAGGGTTAAGGGTTTAAGGGTCAGGGAAATCCGGATCTAGTGCAGGAGTCTGAAACTGATCACTATCGCTTGCCCACTCACTTTGAAACTTCAGCCACACGGAGGGGGGGGAAACAGAGAGAGCGTTTGTGAAACCATCGTCGGATTCTGAAAGGTACTGACCGACATGATGATAGAAGGGACAATGGAAGCACTGTCAGGATGCGCAGCCTGTATGGCCTAGCTGCGATGGCCGTGTAAAACTCCTCAAAGCTGTTGCTGCAGCTTCCACGACAACGACTGCTGCTGGTACCACTGTGATCACTCCTGTTCCTGCTCAGCAAATCGACCACAGCTACTAACTTCTCCACTGCGAGCTCCAAGCAAGTCAAACTTAGTCTCAGCTCCACAAGAACAGGAAAACCTACAACTTTGTCCTTTCACTCCGCAGCCTTGGGCCACCGTGGTGAATCTTAAAGCTCCAATACAGAAACCCACTACGAAAGTCTTAGAAATCTATCGGCCCTTGTACAGACACCCTAAAATATAGGGCTCCCAATCCTCAAGTCGCAATGACCCTGGAAGCTACTTATAGCATTAAGGAGCCCTGCAAGATACTCTGAAAGTAAACCACACAACATACCCCCAAGACCATATTCTATACAGAAACGAACCCTGCAGAAAGGGCAGTACTGTCGGTTCCTATTAACGGTATACTATCCCAAACTCCTGGTTCTAGCTATACTATATGGGCATGGGTCGTTCTCTAAATTAGGATCTTTTTGGTGGTCATTGTTTAAGGGTGCCGTACTAAAGTGGCCTAGAGAATTACCCATATGATATACGCCTGAACCCCATTCCATGAATTAGATCCTGAAGTTGAACCAGGAAGGGACGAAGCTCTTCGTCCACGAACCGCAGAAAGCTTGGCAGCTCCTTTTGTAGGCTTTAAGCTTCGAGGTGTGTGGGGCTTGGGGTTTGGAGCTTGGGGTGTAGATGTTGGCTTTTGCTGCTCTTTAGAATCGGGGCTTGAGCAGCTGGAGCTAAGCAGGGGAATTACTCATGTGGAGTGCATGATTCACAAGAACAAGGACAAGGCAGTACCCAACACCTGAATAACCCAAAACTCTAGAGCATGCAAAAAAAACAGTGAGACTGAACCCTAAAACGAAGAAACTGATTGCCTGGGAAGCAAATTACCAACCAAGGGGGCTTAAACCTCTGAATTACGAGAACTTCTGCCGCATGCGGGGCCTGGGGCTTGGAATGGAAAAGATTCAGGGGTTTATGATGAGTGAGGGCTGTCAAGGTTCAGGTCAGGGTAGCTCGTCTTGGCTTCAGGCACTCGACTGATGCACTGAAGAACTTGCACCTCCTATGACTCCTATGTGTAAGGCACATACACAAATCTCAACCCGACAACGTCTTGACCTCGACGGCTCGACACTCGACATCTCTAAGGCACCCCCACTCTTCCAAGCCCAAACCCTAGAATTCTAACCCTCCCTGCAAGAGGGGATGCCTCCGAAGGGAAGTAGAATAGGAACGTTGATCTCAAGAGCCGCCTCCTGAGGGACAAGGCTGATGGCTCCGAAAGCTCGGGTTTTATGGGCCAAGTTATGGCTTTGAGCTTAAGGGTTCAAGGTTTGGGCGTACAGCACAACAGGGTAAGGGCCTAGAGTTTCACGGCATGGGGCTGAGGGCTTAGGGACTTTAGGTTCGTTTTAGGCTAGGGCTGCGCGTTTCGGGTTTCTGCGCGAGCGTGCAGGGTGTCGGCTTCAGGGTGTCAGGTTGAAAGTCTGAATTTAGGCTTAGAGCCTCGTGCAGCTGAAGTTTTGGGGGAATCATGCTGCAGGCTTGGCGCTTGGGCTCTAGGGCTTCGGCTTTCGGGCAAGGGGTTCGGGTTGTTGGGGCCATCCTACAAGGGGCTGTCAGCCAATGTTCCGGCTGCTCCAGCGAAGACCGCAAACGAAGCCTTTAACGCGAGGTTTCTGCCCACGAAGAAAAACTGAAACCTAGCAAGATTGCAGACATCACACGACAGTCACAATCACTTGAGCCCCAGGCTAAATACTGACCCACGAACCCCTCCGAATTTCAAAGGCCCTACAATGCCAACCAATACCGTGCTTGACATCTGGTGACCTGACCCTGAAAACCCTCCGAAACTGAAACCTGGAATCCCTGAGCCACCGGAACCCCCGGAGCCCTAGACCCTGAACCCTCTGAGGCTAGCGGCGCATCTTCCTGATCTGCACTGTCGGCGGCGCCTGAACAGCTCCAGGAACGGATCTTTCGGTCTAGGAGCCAAGTAGGACATGAGAGGGGGCAGAGTGGGGCAGTACTTTCCTGGATGGAAGCCTGAACGTGTGAGGCATTCAATACTCTCGGGTGCTCACTATTTCAATTGAGGCGCTCTGTTTCAGCGAGGGGGTTATACAACAGTAGCTACACTACAGTATGAAACCTAAACCCTGGAGCAAATTGTAAAGGAAAAACGGGGCATAAAACGGACGGAGCATCTTGTGGAAGAGGGTGGCTTCACGGGATAAGGCGGAGCTCCGTATCCGAAAGACTCCGAGACAAGATGACGAGTTGTAGAGTTTGGGGCTGAGGGCCTGGGGTTTAGGGTTTAGGCTTTTCGAGTTTGGGTTTGGGGTTTAGTAGTTAGGGCCTGGGCTTCAGGGTTACGGCAGCAAAGACAGAACCATGAATACCATGGGGAACACTGCAGCAGAAGGAACGAATTCTTCAACGGAGCGCGCACACTGCGCCACATCATGCAAGCAAAACAATGGCTGAAATCGATTGATCCCTACGTTTACTAAACCCTCACTGAACCAACCCGAAAACCCTGCAGCACCAGAGGAGTCCATCTTCCCACCTTGTGATAGCCACCGCTCTAGCAGACTCGGCTCCACCCTAAGTGAGTCTTGGGTCTTGGGGCTTTTAGTTAGGCTTTTGGGTTTAGGGCTTTAGGGCGTGGAAGATGACATGCACTGCCGTTGAGGTGCATGCGTCTGCCCCTACCCACGTGCTGCAGTTCCTAGCACTCGGGCAGGGTTTGGGTGCGCCCGCATGAGTGCAAAGGAGGTCTATGGATACGGTTTGGCGAGTTTTCGGGATTCGGGGTTCTCGGATTTAAGTTTCGCGGGTTAGGGAGTTGATGTTTACGGCTTAAAGTTGCCTCGACGTTGGGGCTTTGGGGTTCAGCTTTTGGCGTCAGGGGATTCGCGGGTCGCTTTTGCGCGTAGAGTTTCGAAGCCAGGGTGTGGCGATAGAGTAAGGGACTTGAAGGTAATGCTTATAACAAGGACTCCTGAGTTCGGTACCCACATTTTTGAAAGTCCCCCACCCGTTTTAGTAAATGAGGGCTTGGGGCTCGGGTTACAACTGCGGAAATCCGAGTTCAGGCTGTGCGCTTGGCTGTCAAATTATGGCTTCAAAATTTATTCTAGGGTTCACTACTTCAAGGCGCAGCTATGCGGCTATTTCTTTAGGGCCTAGGGCTTCAGTATTGCAGTACCCGCTCCTGGGCTCGACAGGGTTTGGGGCTACGCGGCTTTTGCTGTTGGGCTTGGGGCTCCCTAAACCCGAAATTCTGCGGACTTTATGAGCATAAGTTTTCGAGAGCTCAAGCTGACATACATTTCACAGCAGGCTCCATGTGGCCAGGCGTTGGGGGCAGGAGGCAGCCTGAAAAACTGCAAAAGACTCATCAAGGTGCCTTTGAACTCCTAGAAATAGCCCGCTGAGACAGCAAACCACAACTGGTGCCAAGGGTCTCCCGAGTGAAGGTGAGGAGTGTCTCTACCTGAGAGCTTCGGAGTTTCGGAGTTTTAGCAGTTTTCGGGATGCCCCTGAACTGGGATTCAGGGCTTAGACGGGTTTAGAGGGGTTTAGGGTTCAGGGGCCGAGGGTGCGGGTTTTGCAGAGTTTAAGGTACAGAGGTTTAGGGTTTAGGGATGTTGAAGGGCTCAGGTACGACCCTCCAACCTCCATCCGACCTCGGAACTCCCGGTATGACCACTTCGAACCTGTAGCCCCGAGGCCCCAATTAAGAAAACTGACTGGAAAGCCCATGTAAAGCCTGTAGGCCCTTTTTGGTACAGCAACCCAACAGCATGCCAAAACCCTGAAGCCGCCACAGCTGAAGGCCCGCTAAAGTCCTTGCGTGCCCGTATGAAGAAGAGAAACCTGAAGAGCCATTCATCAGCTGCTTCGATGGGGCCCTGAAGCCCCGAATCTTGACCCCTACAGCCTGCTCAAAATCTCCATGGCCCCCCAAGTACCGCATATGCTGAGAGAAATTCCTCGGCGGTAACAGCCCAATTCAGCCCCTAGGTTTCGGGCCTCGGGTTCTTATTCTGCTTGGGGCTACTGCTGTCTGCTTTTTGGGGCTGGGATGGTCGGGCCCGGGCATTGGGGGTTACGGCCGTCAGGTTTAGGCTGCCAGGCCTGTGGAGCTTCAGTATTTTAAGGGTACTTGGGATATGAATCTTTACCTGCAACCCATGTGGAACTGTACAGAAGCTAAACAAGAAAACGTACGTGACGACATAACCCATAATGCCTGTCTAGCTGGAGCATATCGAAGTTTGGGCTGAGTCTGCAGACTTCGGGTTTCGGGCTGCCCGGTGTGGCATGCTGGACATCGATGCATCAGAGTTTTCGGGTACACAGTACAACGGGATGGTACTAATGTAGCCCAATAGTCCTGAAAAGGGATAGTCCTCCTGATAAGAGTCAGGGATGTGCAGAAAAAGTCTCTTGCCCAGTTGCTGGGATCTGCGTGCCCCGACCCTGGCCGTTGAACCAAACCTCTCAAAGACCCGGCGATTGCACAGACAGGTTTCGGGGTTGAGGGTTTCAAGGTTGGTCTCTCGTGCACACTAGGGTCCTGCGGTGACGTTAGGGGTTTGGAAGTGTGAGAAGTTAAAAAATGCCTTCTGATTGGGGCCATGAGAAGCGCGGGGGGGGCATGTCGGCACTTGCATGTAAACCTGGCTTTTGGTTCAAGGTGCAGAAGAAGACGGTCTGAGCCAAGCCCCACCCTTCTGAGCCCCGGGCCAAGCACCAAACCGGACGACTTAATAAGAAACGCCATTCATCGAAGACATCCACATTTGGATATATAAGGCATGGTCCATACTTCCCAAAATCTTGGATTTGCTTCTTGTAATTGAACTCCCGGTCTACACTGCCATAGTTCCGGCGAAGGCTGCATCCTTTTAAGGACATTCAAGAGGTTGCATGCCAAGACTCCACACGAAAGCCCATAGAGGCCTAAAGCTGGTACCGTTCCTGCCCGGCCCACACCCTAATGCTACATTAGCGTTCCAAGGATACAGAACCGTCACCCACCGTTGTAGATTAAGCTGTTATGGTCGGCCTGGTGCTTCCTATCATAGAGGCATAGAGACCAACCTAAACACTACGTCCTGCACTGGTGCGAACGAGGACCTCTTTTCATGGCAGGCACGCCGGCATGCTCCAATTCAGACGATGCAATGGGAGGTGTCAGGCGACATTTGACAGCAAACACGCCGTGCGTCCACGCGTCCACGAGCGTGGAAAGGAACTAAAACCGTTGTGCGACGAGGAAGTGCACAGGCTGATGCTCTGGTCGTTTGCTTACGCGAAATCGTCGCTAGGCAGCCCAGACAGGAAACAAAAGCCCGGGCAGCTCTCCACGTGTAAAGGCTGCAAATTTACATGTATTACATGACCTTCCACAGAAGGGAGGACAAAAGGACCCACAGGCAGGGACTGGAGGCGAACCCAGATCCGATGCTTGTGTCAGAAGGTGGGGGGCCCTGCCCCGTGACTGCCTGAGTTCTTGAAGAACGCAAAAGTGCCAAAAGGAAAGCACAGGCTTGCTACAAAACCCTACAGAACCCTTATGAAACCCTTCAAGACCCCAGAGCAAGAGTCCAGAAAAAAGCCTACAAAGCGCCGTGGGGGCAGAAACTGCATTTAAAGAACCCAACAGACCCAGCTGCAGGGTCGTAGAAGGCGATATTGTCGGATCCCGGAGCTGCCATCTCAAAATCCAAGTAGAAGGATGTGTCGCTGATCTTCGTCACCTCAGCTTTAGATTGCTCACGCTTGAAGACTTAGGACTTCTGAGAAGGGCTCGGGGCCCTTCGACTTTGGGCTTCAAGCGGTTTCTCAGCTCCGCCACCTCTGCTCCCAAAAAGGGGCCTATAAATCTTCCCAAATCTAATGCGCAGAGTAAAGAGAACTGAGTAGTCGACTGCAGGTGCCAATACACTCGCCTCCTCTTGGCCCTGAAATCTCTGAAGCCCGCCAGTATTTGGTGGAAGCATTTCAGTGCTCTTGCATCCCGCTGTCCTGATCCTGCCGGTACATGAGGGGAAGCATAGTGTTGATGTCTCGCAATCCACCAATAGATGCTTTCCAGCATTTGGGCAGTGCTCTCAAATCCTGCCAGTACCGAAGCACTGTGCCCCTACAAATTCTCGTCGTACATGCGGGAGATTATACAAATCAGTTTGGCCAAGGTGTCCCGCTGTCCTTGGGGTCTCTGGGTGGTTTGCTGTTGGTCTCCCAGTGGTCTTCTCATGGTCTCCTGCTTGTCGTGGTGGTCTTGATCTGTCGGTGATGGTGGTCGCGGTCGTCGTTTTCGTCGTGGGCGTCATGGTCATCAGGGTCGTCATGGTCGTCATTTTTCAGGTGCTGCAATGGAATTCATCTGGGCTCTATCGGGTGCTTAAGGTGTCCTCAAAAGTCTCCACGTGATCTTATTTGGGGAGTTGTAATGCTCCTGTCAGGGAACTCATGTCATACTGGATTACCAGAACTCGGGATCTGCGGTAAGGTATCTAACCTGCTTTACCTGCTATGGAAACTTCATGTACATTGACCAACAAGACCCCAGTCACCGTCACAGTGGCACCGTTTGCATCTGACTTCTGGGAATCTTTGCGACCGGTCGTCACCACAGTAGGCAGCTCGATTTCGAGGTACATGCTGGAGTTCGAGCTATCCTCGAAGCGGATCTTCGAGACTGCTGTTGAACCGATGGTGTCGAGAGTCTTGTCCCAGTTTATGGTGATCGTGGAGAAGATGCCAACCTCGACCCTGTTCCGGAAAGTGAGAGTGCAGTTCACGCAATCGAAACTCGACTCCTGGTAAGCAATGAATGTGTACCTGTGCTCTGGTATGGAAGTTTAAAAACTCGCACGCTCTCTTCTACCATCATCTACACCAAAGCAAAAGCACATTCAAGACTGGGGTGCTTGTACATCCCGCTGGTGAGATTCTTCACATCTGGGCACTTCTCTGCAAGGTTCGTGGCATCAAAGCCAGGGGTGTTGTTCACCATCCCCAGGCATCCGTCGTCATCAATCCTAGGATGAGAAAACGACCAAACGTGACTTCGACCATTCCCATAGCTCAAGGCTGCTTTTGGAGGACTCTGAAGGTCTACGCATTTTGGGTCTTTGGGGCTTAGGGTTCCTGAGCTTCAGAAAATTTACCAGGAACGGCCGGCAGTCACACCGTCGTTGGTGTACGTGAACAGCGGCATAGACTTGGCGCCAGACATCACAACGCGCTGCATTCCCCACTACCAGCACGAGCAGAGACTCAACTGCGTCCGAGTCCACCCCCGAGTCCTACAAGTAGGGTGCGTGCACTTGTTTGGAAAGCCACGCGCGGTTGGTGGTGGTCTTAGGTTTTAGGTACAGAGCTTTGCATTAATTCAGAGCTGCGCAGCAGGCCCACTCGAACACCCCAGGCTGCAATATAGCTTGGCATATAAATCAATGGGTACCTTGTTCAGGGATACTTTGACTCAGTACTGGTTTCTTTTTATATTCCCTTTTCACTGAAACTCAAGCTGCCTCAAACACCACTGAAGGAACCTCGTCAAGCCTGGATTCGAATACAGCAGCTTCAACAATTGAAACAATGCTGTGCCGTGTAGTATCGTATAGTCTTTTTGCAACAAGGATTCTGTTATTTACGGGCTTTCTTTCCGGCGGGCTATAATAGGCCTTACCCTCTGGGGATGCCTACCTTGCTGTGAAGCCGTTGCTGATGATCAGCTGTGCCAGCCTGGGGTGCGTCCAGGTTAGGCTTATGGGATTTAAGGCTTTGGGATTCAGGCCTTTGTTTGCTGTTGAGGTGTCAAGGCTTTGGTCAGGGAAAGGTAAGACGGATAGGCTTTCAGGCTTCAGGGATGACAGACACTCCCGCATTATAGACAAGGCCGCAAGTGTTCCTTCGTTTACACAGCTATGGGGTTCCTGGTACGTAGCAGCAGCCAGGCAGCATCATCTGGATTGCACTTCTAGTCGGTTCCCATGGCCTCGCAAAGTCCGTGGCAACCAGGAAGCCGTTGTAATCGGACCCGTCCCCACCATCCTCCATGCCGCCCATCACTGAGTTCAGGCTCAAGCTGTTCGCAGGAGGAAAACTTACTCTTGCACGTAGAGTTTAGAGGCTTCTTAGGCCATCGAAACACACACCATCAAGAAAAAAGACAAGGTTCTGGGAGTTGACTGTCCGACTTTGACTTTGACGGTGGAGCCGTTGACGCGCACCAGGTCGTATTTGGTCTCAGCGTGAACAGTCTGGGGTCTACATGTCGGAGATGTGGGCCGAATTCCATGACACGCGACCACATGATGCAAGAAGACACAAAGAAGGGACAGCAGATGGTCTGCGGTCTGCGCGTCAACTGAGGCCCGTGCTCCGTTGGCGATTGTCGGGTCTGTTATGGCAGGTGCCTCATAGACCAGCTTCAAGTAGTCCGAGGTGTAGCCGTTGGGTGCGAGCAGAACCGAGAGGCACTCCTCCAATCCGGCATCCGTGCTCGGGTCGGAGCAGGCGTACTTAGCCACCATAGGCCTCTAGTAGTCGACGGACAGAGTCGAGACGGCCACAACTGACAGTTTATTCATAATGGTGTCTTCACAATGAACATCGTGGCAGGTAGTAAGCATCATACGAGAAACAACAAGAAACAGACGACCCAAAATCTTGCTCAAGATAAGCTCATAGGCCCTGACCCAAACCACGTACCCGCTGCATTCACCGGGAGTGTGTCGTAGGTCAAGATGTTGGCATCCACCAGCGCAGCAAAGAATGCAGCAAGGAAAGGACGCATGGCTCTCTGTGCAGCTCGGCGGGGTCGCTTCTGGCCATCGAGCCAGCGAGACATGGAACGTCCGATCATGCCCCAGAAGCTGGGGACTACAAGAGATCATGAAAGTTTGTTGGGACTTTCCCTTGCCGCGCTCCAAAGTTGATAGAAGTAGCTACTTGTAAAGCCCCCTGACACCAAGACTGATTGTGGTACTCGTTGGGTCTTCCAAGAGAAACTCCAGCTCAAGAGCCTTCCACTTCATCCCAAGAATCTGCTCGTTGAAGTTGGGCGCCTTCCGCAGACATGAATTTGAGTGGCCTCGGGCTAGGCGCTTTGGGGTTTAGGAGTTTGCGGGCCGGGGCCCATGGCCTTGCGGACTCTTGGTTTGTGGGACTGAAGATTTGGGACTAGAGGGAAGCCACATGTAGAAGGATCCCAAACCCAAGTCGGTGCCCTTGCCACGAGCTCGTTGAAGGCATCGTTTACCTCTCTTCTGTCCTCGCAGCTCGCGCTGCAAAATGCAACTGCTCACGGCTGTATCCGTAGAAGGGCCGAAGAACAGTGCAGAAGCAGAAAGGCTTCTCTTCATATATATATATATATATATTATATATATATATATATATATATTATATATATATATATGTGTGTAGTCCAGATCGAAGCCTAATCCTTTGCGAAAGGCTCAGAAAAATTTCGTACATCCTGAAAGCCCTGCGCTTTGAATCCCAGAATCGAAACCCTCCACGCTAAACTAAGCCCTAGACCGGGTTGGGGGGTGTGGATTCTTGGGTCTAGGCTTTAGGTTTTGTCCTTCTCTGTGCTCTTGTCTGAACATGCATGCCTGAACAAAAAACAAAAAGGTCTTGCGGTATACCACGCTATAACCGTATTGGGAACCCTTCCAAAAAAGCATCTTTGACCATTAAGGCTCCGATCGAAACCCCCTGTCCTTTGACAGCCCCGAACCCGCAAAGCCGAAACCATGGCAGCAATACGAAAACTGGAGACCAGATGTAGATATGAAGAAAATAAATTGCTTAAAAATCGGTTCAAACAACGACAGTAACCTACCACCACCACCACCACCACCACCACCACAGCAACAACAACAACAACAGCAACCGCAATCCCAACCCGAAGCCTAAACTCAAACACAGCCCCAAACTAAATGAAACCGCATCAGCAACTTTAACCACAACCACAACCAGAACCATCACGACGACGACCGCCACAGCAACACCACCACCACCACCACCACCACCACCACCACCACCAGCACACGAGCGTGCGCTCAGTCAGCTTCCGATTCAGAAGCACGCTCCTCCCATCCCAGATTTTGTATGGGCGGGATATGGAAGACAGACAGATAGATAGGTAGATAGATGGAAAGATGGATGGATAGATAGATAGATGGATACATGGATGGATAGATAGATAAACAGCCAGCTGGCTAGCTGGCTAGCTACCTAGCTAGCTAGCTAGCCAGCTAGATAGATAGGTAGATATAGATGTAGATAGGTAGATAGCTAGATAGCTAGATAGCTAGAAGGATAGATGGAAAGATAGATAGATGGACAGATGGACAGATGCATGGATGCATAGATGGATACAGGGATAGATGGATAGGTGGACAGATGGATAGATGGGTAAATGCATAGATAGATGGATGAATAGATAGATAGATCCATCCATCCAAACATACATACATACATACCTACATACATACATGCCTACATACCTCTATACATACATACATACATACATACATACATACATGCATACATACAAACCGACATAACCTACATACATACATACATACATACATACATGCATGCATGCATGCATGCATGCATACATGCATACATGTATACATACATACCTACATACATACATACATACATACATACGTACATACATTACGTT